AAAAATTGCCAGAAATACAGAGAGACGCGGAGCGCACAAAAGCTGTAAACAGACTGAATCAGCGACGAGAAAATGGCGCCGGACGCACTTCTCTGACTCAGCTGTTGAGCGCCGTATTAGCGAATCGCCGAAAAGCGGGGCCCTACTGTATATACTGTGCACCTAATGCACACTGATCATACAGAAACAGACATTTGTAAGACGGGGGATTTAATGTGTAACGCGTTCACCTGTGATTTCTTGGCCGGACTTGCTGCTAACTTTGGGGAATCCCAGACAAGAGATTCCGCAGAGCCGATGCTTCCTTGTCCATCTAAACCTTGCACAGGCGCTGGAAAAGAATCTGAAAGTTCAGATGATGTACTGTTCTTTATGGTAGTAAGGCTGTATAAGCCAGCAAAGCAGGCACGAGCCTTCTCTTGCTTCGACTCTTGATGCCCTGATTCTTCATCTAAGTTGGAGTCTAAAGCACTAGAACCAAAGTTACTGTCGGAAGCGTTTGCTTTCATGAGACTGGACATCCCTGGGAGGTTCCGATTGCATTTGATGGTCTCGAACTCCTCATCCATCATTTGGCAATTGGTTTTGAGCTGGTCAATCTCCTGCTGGAGTTTCTCCAAGCATATCATTGTGCCAGTGTCAACATCTACAGAACTCTCTGGTAAAAAGTCAACACTAAACTCTGAGAACGTGCTGTCAAAGGAACCGTCACGAGGCAGCCGTTTGGAAAATCCAAGGGAATCATAAGATTCATCTCTTATAAGGCTTGTACTAGACGGCAAGTTTTGCGTCAAGGAAATACCATTGCAATCTCGAACAAAGCTGTGATGTTCCTGTTCCGTTTCCGTTTCTGCACCTTCGGGAGCCAAACGTCTAGCCCTACTCAGGTAAAAGTCTTCTCTCCAATCTTGCCCCAACTCAGAACCAAATCTCTTTGTTTCAGCACAATGCAATCTTACAGCCTTGCTTTGAGATGGCGTTAGATTAAGCCGTGCACTTCCAGATAGCTGGAAGAGTCAATTTACCACATTTAAAATTATACACAATTCAGAACTCAACCTTCATTAACCACATTCCTGATTATCTCAAGTTATCTCAGGTTGATGATATTTGCAAAAAGTATTAACTTGAATTAATACGAGACAATATTTTTCTTCTGTCCCATTATTACAAAATGTAGTTAATTAAGGTCGTGAAGAAAATGTATATATCAGACATTAGATATCATTAAATTGACTGATATACTTTCATAAGAGACGTGCATTTATATATTTCTATACTAGATCACCCGCAAATAGGCCTTTACGCTTCTGTACTGCAAGTCATAAGTTTCCCTGCTAGCTGCAGTGTCATTTGCATGCTCTTAGTGAAAATGTTAATTTTTTGAAACAATATGAAGTAATGCAAACAATGGAAGTGACCTGAGATAACTTGGGATAACAATAATTACAATTAAATAAACAACATTTTGTATGGTATGATTAAATATTTTTTATGTAAATGTCATTTTTGTGAGTATATTTCAAATGTGAAAATTAAAAAAAAATTTGTATCACATTTTCAGAAAAAAGTAAGCAGGGAAGGGGTTAATCTGCCTTTACTAAAGCTCAATGTTCTGATATCCATTATTAAATTACAGCGTTTCACTGAGAAGGGGAAAGCAAGGGAAACAGCTACAGAATCGATGACAATAAAACACAAACCTGCAACCTGCCTGGTGTGGACGTCAGGATTCTCCTGATTTTTCCAAAGAGCCAGCCCGAGTCTTTATCTGGTGGCTGCCTAACGAAACCTTTAGTACTTGTGTCCGAAGACAGAGATTTTGACTGCAGTGTTGTGTCTCCACACCTATGCAAATGGCGTTTCTGATGCTGATGTAACACATGTAGATGTTTTGGGGACATCTCCCCTTGACTCCCATCAGAAACATCTGCATCACGTCCTTCATCTTCGCCAGATGTACCACTCTGAAATCATTCACAGCAAACAATCAGATACTGATACAGAAATAAATGACAATGACAAATTTTACTGGAATGTTACTTTCCTAGCTTTCAATAAAATAATAAAATTAAAACTGCATGCCATTCAATGAAACACGGTTAATGCCTGTTATTAAAATTCTAATGTATATACTGTGATTTCAACAAAAATAAAAACAGTAAATCAAATAACCATGTAATATAAAAAATAAAATATATTTCAGATACTAAAGTTTTACCTGGTGTCCTACAAATGTTACTATTGTCAAATTTGAAACAAGTTCGCTTGCAGATCTTATGTCAATGACAAATAATTGCAATTTGTTTTGATCCTTACGGCACTAAATGAAGGGAATTTACCCAATGCCTGCAAACACAAAATTTAAGACAGATGTAACTTATGTAATAAAAATGATTCAAAACATAGCATTTTAGTCATAATTTCTGCTGCTAATATTGATAAACAAAAAGGTAATATTCTGCTACATAATTTCCTTCTGGAGATAAATATGTGATTTTTCTCTATGAAAATATGAAAGGTCTAGCCAACTGTACAATTTCTTCTGAGGCATTTGGTTTCCTAGGATATAAATTTAGCTCAATATTCACAAACAATTTCTTTTAAATGTTCTCTTCACATCATTCTGAACATTTCTTGGGGTCTATGGGTATATTAGGGGTAATATTTGTCAATGTAAAGATGGAATGTTAGCAATTAAATATTAATTAAATGAGAAAAGAATAAAATGACATACTGTTGATTTGTTTGACACACGAGAATCATGAACCGTATCTTGAAACTCATTCTGTCAAGTTAAGTAAGAACATGATGGCAGGTAGTGGTTGACAATGAACACTTGTTGCATTTGTGAAACAGACATCCTTGCATTTCGACTGTCGAGAAACAACTGATGGTGTCAGAAGCAGGTCACAACATGATATGTCCTGCATGGGCTCTCAAATAATCACAGCAATATTATATTTATTAATTCAACCAAACTAAAAAATTGCAACCATCAATAAATACCCTCGTATGGGTTGTGACATGTGCACTGAAAAATTTTCTGTGTGGAAGTAAGTACCTCTGTAAACTGAGTATCTGTATAAAATGGAGAAATGTTCAGGTCTCTATGGATTCCACTATAAGCAGGTTTTATTTCATCTGAACAGACTCAAAATTTAACAACGGTATTTCAAGGCAATTCTATTTGCATATGTCAACAGTCAGTGGCAGAATCCAGTCATAGCAATTACATAATGCTACAAGTTACGCTCTTGTGACACAGATCAATTATATTTTGGAATAAATGAGTAAAGCACTTGGATATTTAGTCCAACACATCTCACCCGCAGCAGTACCCACCCACAGTTCTGCTACGACAGTGAGACAACAGGATTATTATGAAAAATAGAAGGAAACGGGGAAAATATAAAATATGACCAGATAAGTAACGGAGTGGAATAAAATCTCCATTTTCCGAGTAGAAAATGGGTATAACAGAGGGCATGAGTCTTGGCATGGCCAGTACAGGTATGGGCACTATCACGGAAAGGGATTATTTTCTCTCTGAGCAAGTCAGGGTGTTTCATCTGGATGGCTTCATCCATATGCCACAGAGTTACGCAGTAGCAGTGTGTGTTCACTCCTGCACTATGGTCCAGAAACACAAGGAACAGAATGCCCCGTGCTTCTCAAAATGCTGTAACAATGTCTTTCTCTGCGCTTTGTCGGATGTTTATCAGTCATGTACAAACACATAAAAAAAACCTATTCCAGCTGCCTCACATTATGCTATTAATAATCATCAAATAAAAAAGTGATGTGCAAATTCTTATAATATAAACATCTGAAAGGACACAAAGTACCATAAAATGAATAAAATGGATGTGTTGTGTTATGTAATGTTAAGTTATATAATATATTATGACAAAATGAACAACTTATACAAACTTACAAAGTGGTAAATTAAAAAAAAAATTACAATAGACATTTGTCAGCATTAGATTCCCTGCACTACAAGACGAACGGGATTAAAACAGTTTTGCTTCACTGTTCCAAGAATGTTTGACAAATAATTTACACTGTGACTTACATCAGACTGTGAAGTCGAGCTGTTAGGGTATATCGATCCAGATGCTGATCTCGAACATGGGAAACAATTGCTGACTTTTGGATGCTCCCCTTCTTGCGGTACCGGACTCGGTCCAAAATAATGACCCTGAAGGCAGAACGTTGTCTTCAACTCAGTAAAATATCTTAGTAACACGAACAAAACAGACTTTAAATTTACAGGTTAATATCAGACGTATAATTAACAACCAAGGTTCAAGACAGTCCTTAAAACAGTGACAAAGAAAACAATACACTAGAGAAAATTTAAAATACCCAAAAAACCAGTCCAGACCACAAGCTAAATATTCAAGATTTTTGTCTTCTGGGTTGTTGCGCTGTGTAGTCTGGTAGAAGTTTACCAACGTTTCAGAGGTCATACTGCCTCTGTCATCAGGGTGATGACCTTGGCCCTGATGACGGAGGCAGTATGACCTCTGAAACGTTGGTGGACATCTACCAGACTACACGGCGCAAGAAACCAGTGACAGCAATCTTCATACTCACCGCTGTGAAAACATCAAATCTTACAAGCTAAATATTGACTATGAAATTCATATTTGTGAATAAATACATATTTCTTGAAATGTCAAAAATCATTCATATGAGGAAAACATGGCAATGAATGTTCTTATAAACTAAAATCCTGTTGGGTGATCAACCATGCCAAAGCTGGATTAAAAACGGATTTTTCCGAGAACTGCTCCGTCTCTATCACCAGCATCAATGTGAAGTGACCACATGCTATTGATGTAAAATCCAGTCTATCTTAATGCCTCTTCCTGATTGATGTGCTGGTTTATCAGAGCCTGAAGTCAATTTACGCAGTTACTCATCCCACTTTAGATCTCAGACTGTGTATTACTTAACCCACAGAATAATTTTCCATCTGTCATCCAGTTTATGTTACCGCCGAACCTGCTGTTCCTGGGGTTTGTCATCCACTGCGCCAGAGAGCTGTAAGAGTCTGATGATGGGCATTACATTTTATGCTAAATCTGAAACCTTCTTCCCTATTAAATTATTCAGATGTAATCTTATTTCTACTGCCTCCTTAATCAGACAATCAATGTAACCTGATACTTCGGCTGTTACTTTTGTCTCTTGGAATCTGATCCAATGGACTCGTTCATTGTTATGTCTTGGTATTGCAGATTTGTGTGTATTGTGTGTCTATCAACCCAATCAAATTGTATTGAACTGCAACCATCAATAAATGTTTTAATATGAGTTACATGGCTTTTGGATCACTCTATATTTTCAAATCAGATTGTTTCTATATATAACAGTTGCTATTTTTCATTTTTGAAATTATAATGTAGTTCATATAAAGTCCAATGAGCCACGTGGGTTCCATCTCACACATTTAAAATCTAGCCATTGCCATCCAACGACTTCCATCGCTAACCTCAACTTCACTGAGCTCTTCATCGTCCAAATTTTCCAGCAACTGATCTTCAGCGTCTTGAGCACGGCTCACCACGAAAGTACCCTTCGGATGTCTGCGTGGATGAGGAGAAGAGGGAGGGCGAGAACGAGGCCAGTAGTGGTTGCAGATTTTGTAACACACCAAGCTGCCTACTCCCAAAAGGAGAATCACGCCAGTTGCTTTGACTGTAACAAACAGCGATATCAGACTAATAAACAATGTCATGGAAAGCAAACATTTCAGCCATCCACAAAGAAATCCAAGACACAGCTTAGATAAGACTATCTGATATCATCAGCTGTTCAATATGAGTTTTATTTCTTTAAATTCGCAAAGATGAGAATAAAAATGCAGAGGGAAAGTAAGTAACCAATACAAGTGAGAACATTTATTCTATTCTTCACATTTCCATTCTTGTATACAAAAACAAGATTCTTCAGACTGTGGGAAAAATCTGAACTTAATTTCTGCTATTCCTTCCCAAAATCAAGGTCGTTCCAAAAGTAAGGTAAGAACAGGCACAGCACACGACGGACGTTCACAAACGGAAGTGTTTCCTGATAAATGTTGAGGAGATACTGACGCTTCTTTGAAAAAGTAAGAACATCATGCTAGGTCTTCGCATGTGCGCATTTCATATCGACCAAAACGGCAGCAGGACTGGAGAGTTGGACAAATACATAGTTCAGAAGTGTGATTCACTTTCTGCATATAAAGGGCAACACATCAATACAAACTCAAACAAGGGAGAATGCGTTATCATGCTCCATGACAATATGAAACCACATACAACTTGGCAGACCCCAAAATGGTTCCAACAGTATGGTTAAGAGGTGTCGCAACATCTTCCACATAGTCCTGACTCGACACTATTACACTTGAATCTCTTTGGAACCCTCAAACAGCATTTACTGGAGCAGCAGAGATGGTATGATTGCAGTTGGCCAACCTGGACCTGTCTGCGAAGGGCATCAACATAATATACTAAAATAATGTTATGATGTCTGCATATATGCAAGCAGTTATAGTTCTGTAGTAATAAACATAATGTCTACATATGTACCTTACTTTCAGAACATCTGTCATGTTTTCTGTGGTAGTAATAGTGTTCCTCTCACTGTTCATAAGGTGATGATGAAATTAATATGCATTCTGAAGGACCTGGTAGCAGGATCAATGATGTTGAGGAATCAGGGCTGAACTGATTGAAAAGGAAAATATGTAAGAAAGAATGTGAGATTTGTGATTATCCCGCAGCGAAGATCTATCCATCTATTTTAATAATTTCTGCTGTATGAACATGGATGCAGTATATTCAATCAAAATGTCGGAAAATGAAATCTTTTATGTATGAAATGTTTCTCCTTACATATTTAATTCCACAATAACTAATACTGATGATTATCTTTCCATTTTAAAATATTTCAAATGCAAATCAGAGTAAATTAAAATCTTCATATTATTTTAATTTGAAAGCCTGAAGGGAAGATAGATCTTGGGAGACTTAGGTGCAGATAAGAGTATATATTAAAATAGATTTTAAATAAAAATGATATATGGACACAGACTTGATGGCTGTGGACACATACCAGTGTCACTTTCTTGACAACATGGTAACAAACCTTCAGATTCCTTAACAGTGGGAGAATTTATTAACCAGTTGAGCAATTATTAGCTTCTAAAGGACACTGTTCTATGGTACTGTGTTGTAAAATAACATGACAATACAGCACTGGACAAATAATATTAAAAGATAACACTTTTTTAAAGGGCAAGTTTTAGAGGAAATCTTATAGAAAACTTTCTGAAGCAACAGTTTACAGATTATTGGCAGAATTTCGTGGAAGGGAACAGAGTTACACAAAAAGAAAACCTGAGAAAAACACGTACTAACCAAAAAATCACTTGAAAATATAGATACTCGATTAGAAAGACTGAAATAGTATAATTACAAAAGGTGAAGGAATCACATATGAGTGGTGTGGGAACAAAATATGTCCTCAACCCACATATTTGATACTTTTAATCACTTTATTTTAACAGACCATCGATTTAGATTCCCATCAGAAAAATGATGTCCTGAGTCAAAAGGCCCTAATACCTTCTTGTAGCCAGAAATCAAGAAGTCACAATTAAACTTTCGTTCTACGTAACGTTGTGATTTCCAACTGGAAAACGCTTAGAAGTATCCAGAGAAACTGCGGGTTAGATATTTAGCAAAGGCGAAATACCTCGGCACGCATGCAGTTCAAATCCTTTTCAACAGTATTCACCCACTAGCACAGGGTTTTAATCGTAGCATATTAAATGAGGTGTTTTTGAATTGGCCTCACTTATAACCACGCGGCGCAGGAGTCGAAAAGAAACAGTGAACATGACCACACTTATGTAACCTCCGCTTTACTAGGTCAGTGTGTCGAATCAGCGAACATGCGCAGAAGACACCACCAGCCAGCAGACCTGCTACGCTTCCCTGTCACTAGGGAGGAGGAATATCCTCCTTCATATCATGCCACAATACGATATATTCTCGTTTAGACATCGATTTCAAGACTTGGAGCATGCAAGTGGGCGTGAAAATCGATGGGGCACTGGACTTGGCATTTCACTTTTCCCCAAAGGCTGCAATGACCTACGTGAACAGCGAGTCTATCCTCGAACCCCATCTGGAGACAGTGATCGATCCACCACTTGCAATTAAAACTCGAAAAACTTGTTCCATAATTTAAAGTACTTGAATTCCTGCAGAAGAAAAAAATCACTATTTTATGCCATCTATCAGTGACAGTTCATAATGTACACAAGTCAAATGCCTGCTTTGAAACACCCTGCAGCCATTTGCAGTGCAAGATATCTCGTCCAAACAGTTTTCAAGGGATAGTCTTATATCGCACGGTCCGATTTTCAATCAACATTTCCCGTAGGCTGATGGCCTGTCTGTATGTTGCGAGTAGTTTCGCACTGAATTTTCCCAACTTAACACTGGCTTCCCATGGAAAATTACAAGAGTCGAGGAAATATTAATTTTTCTCTGCTGTAGGGCCATCATTCTTAAAGAATGTCACAGAAAGAAACAAAATTTACATTTATATCAAAAGAAACCCAAATGCAAGCTACACGAGAAGGCAGACACAAGACAAATTCTCGAAAACCTGAAGATCGATATGAGAATGTGATCGAGAGAAAGTCGATTGCAACGATTCTATGAAAAGACAACCGCTGGGGCGACGTAACTGATGATGCAAACGTAGAATGCATGCGCGGCGCTGTTATTCTCTGATGACAGCGAAGGTCAAAATGGGATACGAACACATTGTGTAAACTACGAAACTAAACAACTTGTGTAGTAACAAAAATTAGTGTTATAAAGTTAAACATGATCAACAAATATCAATTTCTTCTCTATAATCAACATCCCCAAAACTAGAAACAAATGCCTAATATGGTAAAAAACGTTCTACAGATATTAATTAACATGCTTTATTGCGAATTATGTTGTTAATTATGCCATGTGACATAATAAAAGTAACATAATTTATTTAAATGATGTACTGTTTTTTTAAAATTTTTATGTGAGTTTTTAAATTCCCCAAATTAGGCTCCCTTACTCTGCCGAAAGGAATTAAAAATTTAGGTGGAACAAATACACACGTCTACAACATGATGTCAATAAGAATATGGTGCGAATTTATCGCACACATGACATAATAGGAGGACATTTACGAACTGGGGTAATTGAGAATTTTCATATGGAGTCAGAGACGCTAAAAACTTGTAGAAGATAAGAAAATGAATGTGTTCAATTCAGATACAAATCACAGAGGGATACGTTACGTCAGGAAATGAGAGAGTGAGGGCAAGAAGAGAAATGAGTGACGCAACACCCAACAGCTGATGGGATTGGCCGATGCCGGAAGCAAGTATGGGACCTTACTCGACGAAAGGAAGATGGCGTTAGTGTGCTGGAGTCACAGGCGGGACAGTACAGAGTTTACAGAAGACTGACGTCACGTGATGTTCCAACAGGAAGAAAGAGTAAAATTAAAACATAATGGACTAAGGGTTAGAGCGGGCCTGCCCAACCTTTTTTTGTTGTGCGGGCAACATGAAGTTTAATACATAAAATGTGAACTGTGAGCTACTACTTCGATGCTATATTACCATATTTGGAACTTGTTAAAATAATCACTCAGTTATTCTACACTCTGGTTCATTCACACCTCTTAAAATAGAGGACTTGCGCTGATGACGGAGGGTTTATTTCCGTGCCTCGTCTATTGACAACGGCCACTTACATTTTGTCCGACACATGGGTTATAAAAACGGACAATGCCAAGTCCCAAATGTAGTAGACACTACAATTAACGTGACATGAAACGTATCTAAATTCCACTTTCATATATTATTTGAGGGACTGGGAGGTTAAACTGAACAAAAACATAAATCTAATACGGACAAGATAATAATTCTGAAATAAATTAAATATGGTGTATTGTAATAATTTGGGCTAAAATTTTGGACATCGTCCATCGTCTGCTGT